TCCTTCACAGCTTTGTGTCAGAGCAGGACATGGACCTGGTGTGCGTGACTGAGACTTGGGTGCGAGATGACTCTCTTCCAGTTGGCTCCTCCCAGGTACTCGATCCTTCACCAATCCCAGACTAAGGGGCAGGGGGGAGGAGTGGCTTTGTTCATTCGGGAGAGTTACACCTTCAGAGCGCTCCTGCCACTGAAATTCACGGGCACAGAGTGTGCCAGCTTTGTCTGGGAAGCCTGGGAGAGTTTGGCTATCTGGCTGGTGTACTGACTGCCCAACGCACTGGTAAGTAGCCTGCCATCCCTGCTGGAGGCTGTATCAGGCTGGGTGCTTGAGCACCCTCGACTGATAGTCTTGGGTGACTTCAACGTCCATGCCGATTATGCGACCTTTATGTAGGCGATGGACCTGGTGTCATCCGTGGTGGCGCTGGGACTCTCCCAATATGTTACGGCCCCCCACTCACCGAGCAGGGCACACGCTCGATTTGATCTTCGCGGCGGGGTTACGGTGGACCGGATCACGACTACGGCCATACCATGGTTGGACCACCATGCCTGAAGGTTCATATGAACATGCCACTCCAACCCTGTTTGGGCGGTGAGCATATTTTAGCTTGCCCACGGAGCCAAATGGATCCTATGCAATTCCAGATGGCCCTGCGGGATCCAATACCCCCTGGCGGCTCATTGGATGAGCTTGTTGAGGACTGGCAAAACTGACTCTTGGTGGCCATTGACGAGATCGCTCCCCGGCATCCTCTGCGCCCCCAACTAAGACTCGCTCCATGGTATATACAGGAGTTGAGGACGATGAAGCGAGAGCTTAGACGACTACAGAGACAGTGGCGTCGCACTCAGGATGAAGCGGCAAGAGCATCCTATAGGACGTTTATGAGATCCTATGAGATGGCAGTCAAGGCTGTGAAAAAAATTTTTTATACAGCTACGATTGCATCTGCAAGCTCTCGCCCAGCCCAGTTATTTAGAACAATTTGGTCTCTGACTACTCTGCCGCAGGGCAGACCAAACGATAAGGAATTGGATATTGGCTGTGAGGCTTTTGTAAGCTATTTCGCAGATAAAATCTTGTTGCTCTGCCATGACCTCCCTGCCACAGTTGAGACAGTAACGGAACTTGAGGCTCCATGCGCGTCTTCTGGTCAAGTTCTGGATTATTTCGATCCACTCAGTCTAGAGGAGGTTGACAAATTGCTCTCATTGGTTTGCCCAACCACCTGCAATCTGGACCCGTGCCCTTCGTGGCTGATTAAAGATGGCCGTGATGGGTTACGAGGAGCACTAAGGGGGATCATCAACACATCCCTTATGGAGGGACTGTTCCCTAGTGCCCGGAAGGAGGCAATAGTACGCCCCCTGTTTAAAAAGGCATCGCTTGATCCGGCTGAATTAGCCAACTATCGGCCAGTATCCAACTTGCCCTACTTGGGTAAATTAATTGTGAAGACGGTGGTGAATCGGTTGCAGGGCTTTTTGGATGACGCCTCCATATTAGATCCTTTCCAGTTCGGCTTATGACCAGGCCATGGGACAGAGATGGTCCTGGTCACCCTCACAGATGATCTCCGGAGGCATCTGGATTGAGGCGGTACAGCGGTGTTGATGCTGTTAGACCTGTCGGCAGCGTTCAACACGGTCGACCATCAACTTATGGTCCACCACCTCACCGATACTGGGATTCAGGGGTTGGCCTTGCAGTGGCTCTCCTCATTTCTTCAGGATCGGGGACAGAGGGTGGCAGTTGGGTAGCAACTATCCGGAAGGCACCCACTAGTGTGCGGAGTTCCCCAAGGTGCAGTGCTCTCCCCAATGCTGTTCAACATCTATATTCGCCCCCTTGCCCAGATTGCCCGGAGACATGGGCTGGGCTGTCATCAATATGCTGATAAAACCCAGCTCTATCTGTTGTTGGACGGCCAGTCAGACTCTAGACTGGGAGATCTGGACCAGGTGTTGAAAGCCGTGGCTGGTTGGCTTAGACAGAGCTGACTGAAATTGAATCCAACGAAGACGGAGGTCCTGTGCCTGAGTCGGAGTGGTCCAAGGTCAGGGATCCCCCTCCTGACCTTCAATGGGGCGCCATTGGTGCCAGCGCCGGAGGTTAGGAGCTTGGGAGTACTCCTGGATACCTCCGTAACGATGGAGGCCCAGGTAGCAGCCACTGCAAAGTCAGCCTTTTATCATCTATGGCTGATTAAGCAGTTGGTTCCCTTCCTTGAACGCAATGACCTAGCAACGGTGACCCACGCATTGGTCACCTCACGATTGGATTGCTGTAATGCTCTCTACATGGGGCTGCCCTTGTCCCAAATCCGGAAGCTGCAGCTGGTGCAGAATGCAGTGGCGAGGCTGTTGTTGTGTCTTCCTATGCGGGAACATATCCAGCCTGCCCTAAAAACTCTGCACTTGCTGTCTATAGCATACCGGATACGGTTCAAGGTGCTGGTTCTTACCTTTAAAGCCCTATATGGCCAAGGACCTACTTATCTAAGGGACCGCCTTTCCCCACATGTACCTCAGCGAGCACTAAGATCGGGCTCCCAAAATCGCCTCGTTCTTCTGGGGCATAAAGAGGCCAGGTTGGTTACAACGAGGGCCAGGGCCTTCTCTGTGGCGACCCCTTACTGGTGGAATGAGCTCCCAGAGGACATCAGGGCCTCCAGGACCTTTTACAGTTCCGCAGGGCCTGTAAAACAGATCTCTTCCGCCAGGCTTTAAAGTAGGGTGCTGCCTTGATCGTATGGCCCTGGCTCTGGCCGGATTACCAACTGTGCCAACAACTGTACCATTATTGGTACCGACAGTACCAACAGCACCACCAACCAGGGTTCTATAGTTGGGCGTGAGCTTGTGGACACCAGCTGACAGTCGATATCGGAAGATTTGACATCTTTTAATATAAGTTATGTTTATGCAGTATGATTTTATATTGATTGTTTTAATGGAATTTTAATGTATATTTATGTATGTTGTTAGCTGCCCTGAGCCTGCCGAATGGCGGGGAGGGCGGGATATAAATGTAGATATAAATAAATAAATAACTTGGATGGGCTTAACCATATCTATTTCAAAACTTCTCTGATGACACAAGGCAACCAATCACTAGGCTCAAAAAGAGCAGAGAAAGTGGGGGAGCAGGCGGCATGGAACCATGCGCATACACAATACCATATGCAGTCTGAAATTTGCACTGCTTGGTTGCAGTGGCGGCTGGGGCCCAGTGGGGCTGGTAGGGAAGACAGCAGCAAATGGTGGGCTGAGCCTGAGGAAACTCTTGATTTTGTCCCCATCCTTGTCCCTTGCACACTATGAACAGTCAAGCACAGCAATCAGTTTCTTAAACAGATAACATCTAAATGAACTTAAGAGTCTCTTACCTTAGGTCAATAAGCTTGTGTCAAGTCATACTTGATTTTCTTAAGGAGAAAATGGCATGGTGTCCCCCACCCCTTCCAACCACCTCTAGTCACAACCAACCCTTCAGACACTTGGTAATACTACCCACTTAGGTTTCTCTCTCTGTTTTATTTATTTATTTGATTTTTAGATTGCCCTCCGCTATGCAAGTGCTCAGGGTGGTGTACATCATATCAATAAATACATTTATGAATCATCTATAAATCAAAATTAAGGAAGAGTCTTTTTGCCTGCTAGATGGGTTGTGAACTTGTAAAGAGGCTTTGGACTCCATGTAATACAAAATAGACTTTTGATTGGTACATGGTCATTGTAGCTATCTTGACTTATTATACCCTTTGATGAAGGGTTTTCTTTGAAACAGTCTGAATAACACGTACGATAGCATCAGGGTATACTGGACACTATTTTTTTATGGACTATTACTGCCCCTAGGAAGGCTTGTGCTTGCGGACTATTTAGGTGATTTGTGTGAGACTATGATGTACATTTTCTTGAAGTGTTGTATGTATTTATATATTCAGTATATTTGATATATTTCTCTGAGCATTATTACTTGTCTTTGGGGGGGAAATGTTGGGGAGAGTTTTACTTTTTCATTTGTAGATTTATATTTCCCTTTCCTGGTTAGTTTTGTGCCCTAATTCACCAGCTGCCCCTGCTTGGTTGATTCAATTTGAATTTATAGAAACATGCCCTTTTTCTAATGGTATGGTGGCTTGAGGTAGTAGATGCATATTTTATGTATTTTTTCTGTGCTCCTCAGCTTTGTGCACCTGAGGAATGTGCCTCGCTTGCTGTTGTTTGAATGCCAGATAAAGGCTGGCTGAACAGCATCCCTCTCTCAGAAACTGGAGAGAAAACAATTCAATTGCAGCAGCTGAGCTGTTTCCCAGCAACCAATCACCACTGTTTTCTGACTAGCAGTCCTTCGTAATCTGGAAAATAGATTACTGTGGGCAGCAGCAGCTGAGCTGTTTCCCAGCAACCAATCACCACTGTTTTCTGACTAGCAGTCCTTCGTAATCTGGAAAATAGATTACTGTGGGCAGCAGCAGCTGTATGGGAGTCCCACCCTTCAAAAGAGGGGGAAATGGATTCTGTCCACTTCCTTTGAGTTGGAGAGTCCCTGCTCCCATTCTTAGAAATCTGTCTGTTTTCACATGACTGAATGGCATAAGAAATGTTCATGCCCAGTCCTAACAAAGGACTTGTGGACCATCAAGGCCACCAGACCCTAGTTGGAGAAATACTTCCGTAGGCTTTTTGGAAAATCTTACAAAGTTCAAGCACTTCAAAGGGAAGAGCCGAGGCTTAATTTTGAGTTACATGCATGCTGTGAAAGGTTAATATTCCGCACATGCTGTGAAAGATTCTTTTTCATTGATGGTAAACATGGTGTGCTAATAAAATAAACATCACATATTCATGATGTGCTAATAATGTTTACAATTTTATAGCCTGGACTGTAACATTTGACTATTCCAGTTATAACAAATTGTGAGGTTCTTTTGATTACTATACGTGTTTCTTACATTGCACTTAAATTATTTCTCCAGGTGTATCCTGAGTTCTTCAAGAGGTGACCAGATTTGCTCAGAGAACAATATCCTGATTTACATATAGGTGAGTAAAAATGTAGGCTGTTTTTTAACATGCTGTATAACTCTGAGCTTAATTTATGAGGGATTAGTTCCTTTCTTTAGTGCTGAGGAGCTGTGCTAAAACATCAGAATATTAGTTTATGACATGAATGCTGTTAGACAAAAAACTGTGTTAGGAAATCTGAGAGTACAAGTGGGGAACCTGGAAGGACTTGGGTGGGGTTCACTTCATTTCTACCAGTACCCTCCACAATATTTCCTCTTTCTCTTCTCCTGGCATCCTACATATCTTCTCCCCTTTCCTTGCTTTCTTCTCTCCTTCCCACTCACCAACCAGTTTCTTTTATCTGCCCCCTCCCCAGCCTTGAGCTTTATTTATTATTTATTTACTTCATTTATATTCCGCCTTTCTTCCCAATGGGGAACCAAAGAAGCTTACATCATCTCTCCCCTCCATTTTATCCTGACAACAACCTTTTGAGGTAGATTAGACTGCGAGAAATTAACTAGTCCAAAATCATCTAGCAAGCTTTCATGACAGAATGAGAATTCGAACTTGAGTTTCCCAGATTATAGTCTGATCCTATCCCCCCCCCCCCCCCCAATTTAGAAAGATCAGACAACCTTACTTATAACTTTAATAAAAGTGTATGTTTTGGCAATATTTGTTTTTGAAAAATGAAGCAAGAAAAATTAACACTCCCTCTAAACATAATTCAACTGAAAGTAAGTTGCATTGATTTCATTCAGTATGCTTTCTATTGGTGTGTCAATCAGGTGTTTTTTTTAATTTTAACGAAGAACACAATAAAGGTTTCCATATATTACTTGCTGTGTCCTTTCTTTGTTATATCGTATGTTTTATTTTAATTTCCGTTGAGGAGTTTGCTAATTTCTTATGTTTATGCTTGCTGTTTGAATATTTAGGAAAACACACATCTCACACTGCAGGAACAAATTTTTGATATTTGGAAAGGACTGATCTGAGCACTGCACAACAGAGTTGATCTCATTATTGGACTTCAACCAATCTTTTATGGCTGTAATATTTCAAGCACCCTATTTCCAAGAGTATATTGCAGGATATGGTCATGTGAGATGAGATCAGCATCTTGCAACCAGCAGAAAATGACTGCTTAATTATCAACAATAAATCAGTGTAGCTGGGGGTGGGGGGGGGAGACAAAAACACTCTCAACATCATGTAACTAGAATCATGCAGATGGCTTGGGTGATGATTCAGTGGCAAATGCTGGCTGGTTATTTAATCCATTTGGGTGTGCACTGTTGATGCAGATGTCCATGAAAATTGTGTGAGATTTATATTAGGGCCAGAACATAATAAGTTTTGATTGTTGTACATCAGTGGTCTTCAGCATTTCTGCTGACAGGGAACCAGCCCTGAACTGATGCATCCTTTTGCATGTTGCAAATAATTTGAAGCATGAGAGAAAATTGTTTTGTGACGGAAATGTAGTGTTAATCATTTATGCTGTGCAGTTCATATATGTTTGACAAGGAAGGCTTGACCACGTCTCACTTTGAAATTTAAGGGTTTTTTTCCTTAAAGTCAAGTTAGGTAGAATAGGAATGCTGTATGTAGGATGAGTTCTATGGGGTATGCCGGTGTTCTCTGTATCGGTTCAATAATGTTGTAATCATGTCTAAAGTTATCATACTATTTTTAAAATACAATTGATTATCTATTGACTGGGAAATACAGGGCTTCACCTAGAACCTGAATCAAATGAATAAGCCTTAAATCTTTCCCTTAAAGACTGAGGGCTATGCCTTGCAAACAATGAATGTTTTAAGGGAGTACTCAGTCACCAAGCAAGACTGTGATGTAGAGGTTAATGTGCTTTAATTCTGTTGAAGAGATTTTAGTCTTCATGTGACTGTTAAGAAGAAGAGGAGTAGGAGAGCAGGTAGAGAAAGAAGTACTTTTCTCCCTTTCTCACAGTACAAGGACTCATGGGCACTCAATGAAATTGCTGAGCAGTCGGGTTAGAATGGATAAAAGGAAGTACTTCTTCACCCAAAGAGTGATTAACACATGGAATTCACTGCCACAGGAGGTGGTGGAGGCTACAAGCATGGACGGCTTTGAGAGGGAACTGGATAAACATATGGAGCAGAGGTCCATCAGTGGCTACTCACTGCTGCTGGATGACCTTGGGCAAGCCATAGTTCTAACAAGAGCTGTCCTTGAAATGGCAATTCTTGAAAGAGCTCTCTCAGCCCCACCTACCTCACAGGGTGTCTGTTGTGGGAAGGGGAAGGAGTTTGTAAGCAGCTCTGAGACTCTGAGTGAAAGGTGGGGTATAAATCCAATCTCCTCCTCCTCTTCCTCTTCTTCTTCATCTTTGTTTTCTTCTTGCTTGGTGGGGGCAGTGGGAGGGCTTCTAGTGTCCTGGCTCCACTGGTGGGACCTCCTGATAGCACCTGGTATTTTTGGTCATTGCATGACAGAGTGTTGGACTGGATGGGCCATTGGCCTGATCCAGCATTGGCTTTTCTTATGTTCTGAGGAGGAGGAGATTGGATTTATACCCCGCCCGTCACTCGGAGTCTCAGTGGCTTACACTCCCTCTCCCCACAACAGACACTTTTTAGCTTTGGAAAAAGTGCAGAAAAGGGCAACTCGAATGATAAAAGGGTTGGAACACTTTCCCTATGAGGAAAGGTTAAAGCGCTTAGGGCTCTTTAGCTTGGAGAAAAGACGACTGAGGGGTGACATGATCGAGGTTTATAAGATTATGCATGGGAAAGAGCAGGTAAAGAAAGAGGTACTTTTCTCCCTTTCTCACAATACAAGAACTCGTGGGCACTCCATGAAACTGCAGAGCGGTCGGGTTAGAACGGATAAAAGGAAGTACTTCTTCACCCAAAGAGTGATTAACACTTGGAATTCACTGCCACAGGAAGTGGTGGGTGCTACAAGCATGGACGGCTTCAAAAGGGAATTAGATAAGCATATGGAGCAGAGGTCCATCAGTGGCTATTAGCCACAAGGTATAGCTAGGGGCTCTGGGGCAAGTGATGCTCTGTCTTCTTAGTGCTTGGGGGGGGGGTCAACAGTGGGAGGGCTTCTAATGTCCTGGCCCCACTGGTGGACCTCCTGATGGCACTGGTATTTCTGGCCACTGTGTGACACAGAGTGTTGGACTGGATGGGCCTTTGGCCTGATCCAACATTGGCGTCTCTTATGTTCTTATGTTCTTATGACACCCTGTGAGGTAGGTGAGGCTGAGAGAGCTCTTTGAGAACAGCTCTGAGAACTGTGGCTTGCCCAAGGTCACCCAGCAGCTGCATGTGGAGGAGTGGGGAATCAAACCTGGTTCTCCCAGATTACAACTGTAGTAATTCCTCACTGTTGGGTCCATACAACTACCATGGTTCTTCAGATCATACTCCCCTCCCATTTAAAGTGATTTCTGGTACTGGGAGATAGAAAACACTCATGTGACCATTGCTTCTTCCAGTGTGCAGTGTACTTGATAGCTGCATCTATTCTACTGAATTGTAATAACTTTTCTAGGAAGCTCAGATAAATAATAAACGGTAGTTACTTCGCTTTGTTCTTTTTATAAAATACTGTATGAATACATAGGATAACATTTGATAATATCATAATAGTTTCAGAGGGTAGCCGTTTTCATCTACAATAGAACACCTAGGTACAAGGCCAATAGCACCTTAGTGACCAACAAGATTTTCAGGGTATAACTTTTGGAAGTCCGTGTTTCCTTCATCAGATGCCAGTTAGAATGGAGATCTCTGAGTCTTTATATCCCAGTCAGAAGGTGGGAGGAGTATTGGAAAGGAGGAACTCAGGATGCAGAGGAACAATGCACATTGTAATCAGCTTGATTAGAACACAGAGGAAATGCTTGGCAGCAAAAAAATAGCATCTGTAGTGAGATAAGAATCCTGTCTCCCTGTTCAGCTCTTTTTTTTGGGGGGGTCCATTGTCTTGACCTTGTGAATGGACTCAAGTTCAGCAGTCTCCTGTTGTAATCTTCTTTGAAGCTTCTCTGTTTGATGACTGGCACTCTTAAGTCACTCTTAAGTCATTAATGATGCGTTGAATCAATTTGAACTGAGAGCTGTATGTCACCACCGGTGGTGTTCTGTTGTTTTGTTTGGGCCCATCTTGTAGCATGTGATAAGTTCTGAGCTACATGCAAAATAAACATGTCCTCATAGAATTTTGCACCCAGTTAAGTACCTTAACAAGCACATTGGGTGTCTTATTAATTACTTCTGAACAATGTAGTGTTATCCTAAAATTTATATGTTGTCAGTTTACCAGGTACTTTTGTTGTTGTTGTTCAGTCGCACAGTCGAGTCCAACTCTTCGCGACCCCATGGACCAGATCACGCCAGGCCTTCCTGTCTTCCACCGTCCTCTGAAGTTTGCTCGATTTCATGTTCGTTGCATCTATGACACTGTCTAACAATCTCATCCTTTGGTGTCCCTGTATTCTTTGACCTTCAATCTTTCCCAGCATCAGGGTTTTCTCCAGTGAGGGCTCCCTTCTCATTTGGTGGCCAAAGTATTTGAGCTTCAGTTTCATTATCTGGCCTTCCAGGGAACAGTCAGAATTGATTTCTTTTAGGATTGACTGATTTGAACTTCTTGCAGTCCAAGGGACTCTCAAGATTCTTCTCCAGCACCATGGTTCAAAACCAGGTACTAGGGGTGTGCAAAAAATAATAATTGGTTTTTTCCCTATTCAGGACTGTTGGACCCGAAAAATATTGGTATTCCAAATATTCCTGAATACCAATAGTGGTGTTGTATTGTGATTCAGGTCAATATTAGAGGAACCTAAATTTATTTAGCTACATTATACCCTATGGGGACCGTCCAATGGAGAAAAAAAGGCATTTAAAGAGTCTCTTTAAATGTCTTCTAGTTAGCTTTTATTTGGGCACAGCTAGTTTGGTAGCTGAATCAGATTCTCCAAAAAGGTATTTTTGGGTATTTATTTGGCTTGGTATATAACAAGCACCCCC